AGCAGGAGACTTTTGCTCTCAGGAGGTGTTGCATTAACCTCGCTGCAAAATTGCACAGCAGAGCTCTGAAGCGTGTTCCTCATTTTGCCAGTGGAACATAAAAATGTGCTTATGTGTTTGGTTGAATCAAAACTTAAACCTTCTGATTTTTCCTTAGAACTCTGTTGTTGCAGTGAGCTGAGGAGCAGCTTCACCTGCATTCACCTACAACCCTAACATTCTGGCTCAAGGGTGCTGACATCAGATGGAGCAGGCCTGCTTTTTCTGGTCTGGTTTGGAACTGCTGAGAATTACCATGATGGTTTTCATACTAGCTTATAATAAAATATTTATGCCACTTCAATGAAACTAAAAAAGACTCAAGAACTGCTTCAGATGTTCTCATGTTGGATTGTTCAACTAGTTTTTCGGGGGGCTATTTTCTCGTTAATCCAGTTAATATAGTTTGTCACTCGGGTGTATACTCCAGGTTTGTTGACTCTGCCGCAGCCATCTCCCCAGCTGATAACTCCATAGAGGTAAGAGATGTCCTTTTCTTCACAGGCCAGAGGTCCACCAGAATCTCCCTGTGTTAAAAGTAAGCAAAGATTGTCTAATTTGACAGAAAGCAGCTAGAAATATATCCGTTTAGGAAAGTCCTAAATCAAGAATGTTTGTGTGTGAGATTTACACTAAAAACATAATACGCTCTACTGAAGTTGCATTATAGAAAGATTTTTAGTCATACTCACCTCTAATATAATGGTGGGAAGGGTTATTTCCACATTTAATAGAACTATCAACATATCAGATTGTGTTTAAAAATCTGAATTAAATTCAGATTCAGACGCTTACTGAAGAGCAGTGTTGTTTTGGGTCACTTTCAATGGGAGTAAGGAAGTCTGAAGCACACGCTAAGTTGTGGTATGGGGACTGCATGGATGGTTTACATAAGGCAGAGAATTTTTGGAATTTCTCTTATTGCAACAGTCAGAGATCATGAAAGTTTTTAAAGGTGTTACATACATACACACTTTACCATGCGACTGGGATGCTGTAATTTTATGTGGCATATGGAGTTTTTGCATCTGTTGAATTTGATGCTATTGAGCATTCACCTTGTCATTAAAAACAAACTGAAAATAAGATTAAACTAATTTTCAATGACACAGTACAGTAAGGATGAATTTGGAGGGCTTCTACCTATTTAAAAGATTGCAAGCATTCAGGAAATGTTTCTATTCTTGTTACTCTTAGACTGAATCTCTACAGAAATGAAAATGCTAGAAATCAAAAGAAAATGTGACTTAGCAAACAGTACTGGTGCACTGAGTCAGCACTCCAGTTGTTTGAAACTAAGGAGTAATATCTTTCCTATTTAAAAAGCAAACCCCTTGAGAGCCAAGTAGGCAGGAAAATTGTGTTGCATTTGTTTCTGTGATAAATGAGACAGGGAATGAAGTCTTGCATCTGATATCAATTTATTTCACAGAATTTTGCTTATTTCTCCACAACTTGTCTCATTGGCTGCAATTTTTGTACCAGTGCATTGACTCACAAATAAAGTTTCCAAGAAAATATTTTTTTAATAATCAAGCAGAACACAGTGATATTTCTTGGTCTTGAAATATATTTATAAATAACAATTAGTTTATAGTTTAATTTCCCAGGCAGAAACTAAGAAAATTCAGGTCAGCTTCACTTATTGTGACATAAAGAGGTCTCCACTGTTTCTCCTTAGACCACACTACAAGTCTGCCAACAGGAAAAAAAACAAACCTATTAATTAACTAATAATTAATTCATGTAATGAGCACTGCTCTTTAGCAACATCTGTGACTCTAAATCACTAGTTTTCCAACTTTGCAACTCACTCCAGACCACTTGTCTTTGTGTAGCTTCTCTCTTCTCTCCACTATATTCTTTTCCCAGGACAGGGAGCAAGATCTGGCTATAACTCTGTATCTTGTGTTTATGCTTTCTGGGTAAGGCAAGGAAAACTGAGCAAGAAAGGTAGTATCTAGTTCTCTGACTGGTACAAACACTTGCAGCCAATAACTACAACCGGGTCTCAGCCCTGGCCTGGAAGCCTCCTGCCACTGCTGGCTGCTGCCATTTCACTCTTGGCACTTTTCTTTGGACACCTTTATGATCTCTGTCAAGGTTCCAGCACACAAAATACATGGTACTTTTTGCTTTACTTAATCTCATTGCCAGCTATCAGGTATGTGCTGCCTGTTCCCAAATATGCTACTAATGGAGCATAACCCTCCTCCTTCAAAATTAACTGAAGATATAATCTGAAGGTTTATGGGAAGAATAATCTGATCCTTCATTTTCAAAATAGTCTCATCTATCACCACAAAAATTCTGCATCCTTATTCAGAGCCAAGGTGTGACGTAATTCAAAAAGAAATGAAAAGTATTAAGATCATGGGGTCATTGATGAAGGTCTGGAGTCATGAAATACAGTTTGCAGTTCTACACCATTACATCCCCTCCACTGTAGCAACCTCAACTCCTTCCCAACCACTGCTCTCCACCTGCTGCACAGGTATCCTGATTCCCATTCAGGCAAGAGGCAGCAACTTGGGTACTTGGCTCTGCAGAGGTACATGCTGGTTGGCCTGCCAGCACATCCCTGCCAGCTGGCCAGCAAACCATTGTCATCCCACTGCACACTCCACCAGCAGCTAAAGCAACTCACCCTCCAGTGCAGAGGCACTGCCTTTTGTGAGGGTAGAAGAAATGTACCATCCCAGAGGTTTTTTGCCCTTCTGTAGAACTTAATTGACTTTGAATAGGTTAAAAAAGAAAGGTAGAAGCAAACAGTGCATTCACCTAAGTTTCTTCACTTTAGGAACATTTCTTTTGGAACATTTATTTCCTTTAGGAACACTGTAATGTCAAAAGTAAGCACTGTAACACTGCAGCAGTTCTGGCAATAATATACCTTCATATTCTCTGCCTAGAGATGACTCACAACATTACCTGACAAGCATCAGATTTGCTGTCGAAGTAGCCAGCACAGAACATATTTTCGGTGATTTCTGTTCCGTAAACTTCAGGGCTTCTGCACTTCTCCTCAGAAATAATTGGAATCAGTGTTTCTTGCAGGATATCTGAATAACCAGATATATCTTTAAAAAATTCCCAGAGAAGAAAATAAAGTCATTTGTATAGAATGTGAAGAGCATAACATGCAAACACAGTGCACAATACGCCATATAAACACACTTGATAGATCTCAGTCATATTTGTGTTGTGGATCTCCTTAAAAGATGATAACTTTTCTAGTGGTCATATCACTTTCTGCTCCACCTGTCACACTCCATGTCCTTCAAAACAGTATGCCACATCCAAACATTAATCCACTTTGGGTTCTCTCATTTCCTAGAAAATCAGGAACAGTGCCCCTGCACTCCTCTCCTCTTTCCAGATGTTATATTAAATCATCGATTTATCAAAGGCTCCATCATCTTTTTGCCTTTAAACTACACATCTAGACCAGGACAACATTTGCTCATAGTTAAGTCTCTCACCAAAATGAGACAGCCAGCTCACTGATACTTCTCATTTATCTACATAGGTCTCTGCTGTACCTCCACATCAAAGCAGCATGGCTGAGCCTGATAATCCTAGAATTCTTAATCTGAAAGAATAGGATGGATTTTGCCACCTTTCTCAAGCTGGATGAAAGCCCTTCTTAGCCCAAATTCTATCTGGCCCTCTTCTGTAGGTGTTTCCAAAGTTTCTTGCTAATGAAGGTAAATATCTCTTCCATCACTGACTAATAAGCTGATTGTGTTTGGTTTGCAGTCTTTGATTTCTACCTTGAGAAACCAGGGGTAGGGTTCACTTCACTGAGGTGTCAAGTTGTTGGCACCTACAACTAAGCTGCCCTCCCAGTTCATGGGGATCTGGCTGGCTCACAGCTCAGCTCAGCCTAAAATAGATGCAAACATTTAGTCAAGGGAGATACACTCCGAAGTCCAAGGACTATAAAGGATGACTATTTCAGATGTAAATATTATAAACATCTAAAGGTAAGTAAAAACAATCACAACAGAAATCCCTTGGAAAATATTTTACCAAACTATCAGTTGTACAGCACATACCTGAGCATGACATTTTAATTATCATCCTTTTTTAATACAGATGCCAACTCTCATTTTACTCACTCTCATGCCGGTGTCCCCATCCAGAAATCTGACATTTGAACTGATCAGGAAAAACCATGTTACTTTCTGGCAAGCAGATGGGCTGAACAAACTGGGACTTGATGGCACAACGCTGGCCATTCTTCTTCAGCTTAATCAAAGCTGCAGAACAGAAAATATAGGAAGAATAAAGTGACTGTTCCCTTTCTTTAATGGGATTGGCAGCAATGGGTCTCAGTTATTACTTTAATTATCCCCTAAGCCTCACTTAATTAAGATATTTCAATCAAAGACAGACAGGCTCATCTCAACAGCACCTGATTTCACAGCAAATTGAAGGCTGAAACATTCAGCTACTCCCCTTGTGGGAATATTTATTTTATGCTGCACTCACTGAGCAGATTTTGCTTCACTGCCTTTGTAGAGAAGTGAGAATATAGAAAACACATATGTTTCCTCCCACCTTAATGTTAAATAACATTGACATATCCACAACTTTCAGCTGAAATAAGTGGGATGTGCAAGTGCTCACTGCTTCTGAAATTCTGGCCACCTGCCTAATTCCAATTTGATTTAAAAAATTAATTACTTGCAAGACCTGGTGTATTTCATGCTCTGTGTTATTACTGAGTTCAGCAAAATTCAGTATCTTGAAAATTAAGGAATAAAATATTTTGATATTTCAAAACCAATGTTCTGAAATCTACAGAGAATTACACAACCTACACAACCTTTATTATCTCCTCATGGGGCTAAAACCAGTGTAAATACAGAACTGTACAGCATTGTGAGCTTGATACTGAAAGATGTCAAAAGTAGTAGAAACATTGGTTCCCCTGTAGCAAACTTGTTGTGTTTGGCTGTAGAGCAATAGAGGAGGCTTTGTGCTGGGGATAACAAGGGCAGCATGTTGGGTATGGGCAGACTACTCAAAGAGGACAGAGTTGAGGTAATGTGGACACATCTATTAAAGCCTCACATCACACCTTTTGGAAGCTCCAGGGTTTCAAAGCCCAGCTGTGTGGCAAGCAAGAAATGCCAGTGGGTGATCTTACTTCTCTACTGACTGCATTTGTTTGCCTTTGTGGAACATGTAAAGAGTATCTCCCAGGTTGATAAGCCCACACAAACTGCACTCCAACATTCAGCATCTTGCCCGTCCTTACCTCCCTCCTCTTCCCTACCAACTCCACCTGTTTCTGAATGCCCTGAGCTTCCCAGTTGTCCTAGGGTAGCCTGTTTCCTTTGGAAAAGCAGTTTCAGCAAGAAATAACTCTTCTGCTGCATCAGAAGTCACTGACAGGGCAGAATGTGCCCCCACATCTTCTCCCCCCCCCCCCAGTTTCTGCCTGCTTGATTGTTTTCAGTGCGGCACATCTTAGGAACTCCATGTTCAACTGACCCTTAATCTGGACATTGCACGTTGGTGATGCATGCTGAATTTCAGAGTAATTTAGAAAGTCAGGAGATCTCCAAGTGCCCATGGTGGTTTATACTAGGATACTTCAGAGCAGACTGAAGCCCCAAATCCACTTTCTCTCCTGACATGCTTTGACAGAGCTCCCACCAACACAGAATCTGAATATTTTTTGCTACAGGGTGGAAAATATTCTCCATCTGGGAGCTAAAATGCCAGTACATGTCTGGCCTACGGTGTCCCTGATGTCAGGCTATTAAATAGTCTCAAAAAGTGCTCACACAGCCTAGGGTGATGTGCCACCTTCCACTAGAGCAGATCAGAAAATAAGCAGCGAGTTGCTGTTCCATTGTCATTCTGACTCATATTATAAGGTCAATCAGAAGGGCATTTAACTTTTGACTGATAAGACAGCTGATTTTTAAAACCTATCTCCATGTAAAAAGTGATTCTTAGTAACAGATTTTCAGAGCAGATGGGGCTATTATATTCATCTAGTCAGAACCTCTCTACAATGCAGACAATAGAATTTTACCAAGTAATTCCCGCATCAAGCCCACAGTTTCTGGTTCAGTTGAAAAAAATGCCTTATCCCACAAAGACTTGAAGTGATGATGAATCTGCCATACACTTAGGTAAATTGCTCCAAAGGCTAATTATCATAATTATTTAAAATTTGCAATTTATTTCTCATCTGAATTTGTCTAGCTTCCAGATGCTGCTGTAACTCTGGCAGAACTAAGAACCCTCTGCTCTCAAAAGCATCTCCTAATGCCTGCATTTTTTCCACTGTAAAGGCAGTTTTCGACAACTTGAGACTAATTTGATTAAATAGAAAATTAAACTGTAAGAAGAAAAATACTCACCAATATCATGTTCAATAGGGTTGAACACAGAATATTCAGGATGCAAGATGTATTTCTCTATTTCAAATGTTTGTGTTATATCAGTTGTTCTATTAAATATATGCTGACCCAGGACCACCTTAATAGTTGATTTTAGTGGACTGAAATACAAGAAAGAACAAGCAATTCTGTGATTAGCAGGTCAGATAAAACCTAATTTTCATTGGCCGTGTGTCTTAGGAACCATAAGAATCTCAACACCCTGCCACATCCATTATTTACCCTCTCATCATGCCTGGATTCCCAGGCTTGCCACCTACTGTGGGCCAGCAAAAAATGACCAATGTCACAGTGAGTCCCAGGCTCTCCGGGTCCTGATTAGCTTAATTAAAGGCTGCTGCTCCTTGACAGAAGTAAAAGCAAGCATTGCTGCCCAGCTGCTGTCTGGCTAACAGGCATCTTCAGGGGCTGCAACAAGTGCAACAACTACTGAGGAAGAAATGGGGGACCAAAATATGAGTCAGTGGTGGATATCTCATTTCTCTTGGAAACCAGGCTCTTGAGAATGTTAAAGGTGTGGGTCAAGATTTCAAAGGTGCTGGTAAACTGATAACTCAGGAACATCTTCCACCCAAGAGCTATTGCCACTTCTGCTCTCAGATTACATTAATCTGTTGTCCAGAATCAAAAGCACCTTGGTGGAGGGAGGTCCCAACAGCACACTGATCTAATGGGAAAAAACACACTCAGAGAAGACAGTTTTTTGTAATTCATACCATCTTTTACAGCCACTGATTGTTTACTTTAAAAAGACCACAGTCCCCTCTTGTTTACATTTAAAAGACCACAGTCCTCTCATATCCCGTGTCCTAGGACAGAAAACTAATAAGAACCAGTACAACAGTTGGAAAGAGAGGGACATTTGAGAATAACCAGGAAGTGTTTGAATAGGCGGTAAATTCTCTAACTTTGAAAGTAACAGATACAAAATTTCACTCTTGCCTTGAAACCAATTTGATCTGCATGTGCATAAGTCTGCAGTGAACTCAGCTAGCAAGTGTCTTCCACATGGTGGCATTCCTATGTGTTGCCATCCATGCAGGACCAGAAAATATCTGCTGACACACATTGTGCACAGATGCAGTGGTCAAGATCATTGAAAAGTTTCCCTGTTGTGTTTCTATGCATCAGTAGTGCCCGTCAGATACAAAAGCACTGTGGAGTCTCCTCCAGTACGAAGCGTGAAGAACCCATCAACAGAAATGTACTTAGAGGAAAGAAACTCTGCCTAATTGCAGCACACAGAGACAGCAGCTACCCTGCAAGAAAAGCTGTGGTTATAATTAACAGAGGAAAGTGGAAGGTTTGTCTTTCTGTGGGTGGAAAACAAGAAGACAATAAAATATTCTTTGGTTGTTATGCAAGGCCAGGATTTTCTCCATGTTCTTGCAGTGATAAAGCAACACCTCTGAAAATGAGATTTTGGGCCTGTTAAAACAGTGTAAATCTGCTTTCCAGGATTGTATTTAGAATAGATTTTAAAGGCACTGAATGGATCCATTAGACTTACAGGTGGTTCATTCAGGAAAAGGTGTAAAACAGGAGGGGTTACAGAATAGGGGGGAAAAAACTAATAACAAAAAAACCCCACCAAATTAGCTGCACAGGTATCTATTGTCTCCTAGTGGAAAACAGTTGAAATTGTGGCTAACTCAGAGGTACTAAACATATGGACGAGAGCAAATTGCAATGCAGCAATTATGGAAATCCTGTATGTACCAAATCACCAGCTGGAAGTGGGTGGAAATGTCCTGAATAGCTGCCAAAGTTAGTAGCTATTTCACAACATTTGAAAAACAAATGTGCTGTAGCTCAAGCTCCAAATGCTTCAGTACAGCATTCACAATGGTATTATTAGCTCTACAAGTTATCAGGCTATGGATTCTGGCATGAGGTTTTTTGTTTGTCTTGGCTTCTTTGCTATGCAAAGGAACAATGAGTATGAAATGATGTAATATTTTTCCTATCAATGTGATCAAACCAAAACCAGGGAAAGTGTTCAGTGTTTGTGGAAAAGGAAATAATTAAAATAAAGTAAAAGCATCCCATAGTCAATATTTGATGCAGTGTCCCACAGCTGGAGGACAAAAATCTCCAAAAAAACCCAAAACACCTCTTTCACAAATCAGCCTCAAAAGTTCAACTGTTCAGTTCAGCTCTTCCCTTTGCCTTTTTGTAAAACTGAGCCCATTCTATTTGTGCTAACCAACAGTAATTTACTGTCTCTAATAAATAATTTTTTGGCTGTCTCAATTGTTTTGAACAAAACACAGCAATGAACACAGCCATCTGTGTTACACCTCAAAGCAGGCACAGATTTTCCAAAGTAGCAGAGAAGATAAATACTTATATTCCCCTGCCGATCCCTGCACAAACAAGCTCCCATTCAATGTCCTACTCAGCACTACCTTGTTCCTTCAGTTGGTTTATTTACCTTCTTGAAGGCTCTCTAAGGAACAAGGTAGTTTGTGAGATAATAGGACTCCAAGCTATTTGTTAGCTCAGGAACTGCAACTCCTTTTGCAACACTGGCCTTTTATAATCTCATCTTCTTTCTCACTTGTCTCAGTTCAGGTCTGTTGTGAGTGCAAGGCAGACAGTGACTCTGAGGAGAGTCATCCTACTGTCATCCTACAGGTTGAGTTTACCTGTTAGCAAAGCAATGTGCTGCTGACAAAACCCAGCAAGTCTGAATAAGGCTTCCACCACAGAAGCTCTCTCCAATATATATAGCTGCTGTCCAGGGATGAGATCCAGGCAGAGATGAAGATCCCCCAACAATCCTGGGTCTCACAAAACTTCTTTTTTTGTGTCTTCTCCCACATGGTCTTCTGGCAACTGCAAAAGTGTCTACATTGTCTGGAGCTGGTGGCCTCCTTTCCCTGCTTGCTGAGATATAAAGGAGCATGGCATCAGAATATGAATTCTTGTGATTTCTATGGACTGGAACTTTCACAGGAGTCTTTAAAAGAAAGGTTCAACAAATTACCATTAAACATTCACATACAACTGAATCACAACCAGTTCCTCAGGAGACTTGCAAGGCTGAAAGCTGTGCCTCTTCCCAGCACTCTGGCTACACATGAACTAGTGTAAATTAAATGCATCTCTGAGAGTTCCCAGACACTGTTTCATTTAGCAGTACAAACATAACCTTCACTATGAGAGGAGGCACAACAGAGTGCATGATACCTCACACCTTCCTGTCTGGATTCTGGACTGAGTTTTTCTATTGCAACAGCATGAACTAGGATGCTTGTGTTAATAGCAGCTATCAAATGCATTATAAGCATAAAAGAGAAATAAAAGAACCACTTTAAAAACTGACTTCTCAGATTACAACTCCATTCTAATGGTCAGTTTCAAAATTAACAGCTGTTAAATTCAGGGGAAGAGCAGCATCTTAGGTTATGGAACTAAATACTATGTCTCATACATTTTCAGGATCCCATCCTCTGTTTGCTCACAGAGGCCCATTCACCTCTTTAGGACTGTAATTCCCTGAGTGATGACAATCTGTACCAAAACTTCAATCATTTCTGACATCTTGCATGTTCTAGCAGAAAATGTGATTGTATTGGGAGGATTTTGACTGGAAGCAGTAGTGTGACACTGCTGTTCTGCAGTACTTGAGGACAAAAATCACAGATTGTATCACAACTCTAAAAAAAATGCAGAAGAACCTTGTTGTTGTCATCTGATTGCAATCAGTAAAATATTCACCACTCCTGGGAACATTCAAAATTATACAGTGAAAGCTTATTCTATCAATATATCTTTCTTCATTCATTCATAACATGGATTTTCAGAGAGCTTTTACATACCACAAGATGGAAGGTCACAGTACTCCCAAGACAAACTGTCGTCCTTCATGATGTAACACCATGGCTTGTCATCATCATCTGGATTTCTAATGAATTCAGGGAGAGAGTGAATTACAAACATTAACCACAGTGTAGTTCCAAGCTTCCCTATAGTGTTTTACTTTTCCCACTGCACCATGCAGAGAACCGACAGGACTCTCATGTTTCTAGTCACCTGACTAACCACTGAAGCACCTTCTAACCCCTAAAAGGGTGAGCAGCCTCTCAGTAGCATTCTTCATGCTTACAGTCAAACAAGCCTAAGGTCCTCTAGGACCTGAAATACAGATACATGACTAAACACCTGTAAAAATTGCCTACAAGTATTTGGATATATCAGCATGTTCACATCATTCAAATACAGCCCACACTGAAGTGCTTAAACAGATATCAGCTCAGCTATTTTCAGGACTAAATCCCATGGGAGAAATTCCTTCTTTAGGGGTGTTTTTTTTTTTTTTAGTATTATTATTTTTTTAAGCAAGGAAGTTTCAATACAGATAGATTCATTTAAAAAAAAAATTCCATAAAAAAATAGCTAGCAAAAAAATTTGAGAAGCACAGGTTCACATTTCCTGGAGAGTCTAAGGAAATGAAAGTCTTCCTCAAGAAAATATTCTATTCCTCAAAAGGACAAAAACAAAACTAAACAAAACCCCACTAATATCTAAATCAGAGTAGCCCTTTGTTGCTTTAGTGTTAAATAGGTCTTGGTTGGATTCCATTAGGGTTTCTTCATGGTACAGCCTAATTGTCTGTAACCAGAAATTTGCCCAGTTTACCCCTCCAAGAACACAAGAAAACTTTGAAAACCCAGAAAGATCTCTGGCAGGCCAAAAGATAGACAAGGTAATTCAGGGCTCCAGATAAATAGCAGTTATAATTTCAGCTGAATTTATCAGAAGTGTTAGCTATTATTTAAAGGTTCTTCAATTTATTTATTTATTTAATTTTAAATCTGATTGCTCTTCAGAAAAAGATTGAAGCACTTTCAAATTCTGAGAACTGAAGAAGCAACACAGGTTGAGTCATCTTCCGCCAACAATGTTTCTAAATTAGACTATTTGGAGAAGCTATCTTCAGGATTATATAGTGTAGCAGAGATATCCCCAGAAATTGTAACAAGCTGACAAAAAAGTGAAAAGGTTTTTTTCTCAGTTTTACAGAACATGAACACATCAGCTCCTACACCATTTTGTTCTTTGCATTTCAAATCTGCAAGTGAATATTGTGCTTAAATGATGCAAATCAAAGGGATCAAAAGTTATCCAAGCACAAAATATGTGCCCAATAAATTGCCATGCTGTACCAGGACAAGATAAATTTTGTATTTAAGTGCTTGGATGAGGACCAAGCCTTGGAAAGCAAGTTGACCTGGATTACAGATGGGTGTAGGAACTGTCTTAGTTTGTGTTAGATAGAAAAGGGCTACTTTCAATGTGCAGGTGTGCTTTTTATCACCAAACACCTGAGGAAGTACAGTACTTTCTAATCGTCCTGAAATTCTGGTTGAACTTCCATTTAAAAAAAAAATAAATTTTAAAAAAAAAAAAAGAGCAAAACATCAACCAGAAGTTTATAAAAAAGACACTGAAGTTTGCTAGATTTAGCTCATCTCCAGGGTTCTCTCTAAATGGAAACCCTAGGTTGCCCATGAAGGTTGTGGCTGCCCCCTCCCTGGACATGTTCAAGGCCAGGCTGGATGAAGCTTGTGCAGCCTGGTCTAGTGTGAGGTGTCCCTGCTCATAGCAGGGAAGTTGGAACCTGATGATCTTTAAGGTCCCTTTCAACCCTACCCATTCTATGATTCTATGATTTATGGGTATTCACTCCTCTCAAGACCTCAGACAGAGGGGCAACATAATGTGACTGAGAAGACACAAACCCATATACTGGATTAGAGCTGAAAAGAAAACTTCAGCAGAAATGTAGTTTTTCATGTGTGTGGCTCAATCAAAATTGAAACATTATGAAATCTTATTTTCCAATAGAATCATAGAATCATTACAGTTGGAAAAGTCCTCTAAGATCATTGGGGAGGGACTTTTTACCAGGGTGTGTAGTGATAGGACAAGGGGTAATGGTATTAAGCTGGAAGAAGGTAGATTTAGGTTAGATGTTAGGAAGAAATTATTTAGTGTCAGGGTGTGAGACCCTGGCACAGGTTGCCCAGAGTGGTTGTGGATGCCCCTTTCCTTGGAAGTGTTCTGGGCCAGGTTGGATTGGGCTTTGAGCAACCTGATCTAGTGGGAAGAGTCTCTGTCCTTGCAGGTGGATTGGAACTAGATGATCTTTAAGGTTTCTTCCAACCCAAACAAATCTGTGATTCTAAGTCCAACACCACCCAACCCCACCCGGCCAACTCAATCATGTCCCAAAATGTCATGTCTACATATTTTTTTGAACACTTCCAGGGATGGTAACTCTACCACTTTCCTGAGCAGCCTGTTCCGGTGGTTGACAACTCCTTCAGTAAGGATTTTTTTTCCTAATATCCAATGTAATAATTTTGCTTTGGGAGAAATCAGTACAGAAATTACTGACCCTATTTCAACATTATTGAAGGATATTACTTGGATTTTTCATTTTCAAATAACTTTTCACTTCTTAAAATATTTTCCTTTAGGTTACTTATTTCACCATTTCAGAATTAGAACTAAAAAGTTAACCATTACAATTTGGCTACTGCATTTATTTCTCCTTTTGGATAGTCATTTATGAACAATTTCAAAAAAGACCTGGAATTTCCAATATTATTTTGTGCCTGAGCTTCTCTTGGCTGACCCAGCTATTGATCTAGCTTGTCTGCCAGGTCTTTTCTTCTGTGCACTTACAACTGTCCTGTCAGGCTGTGAAAGTCAGTTTAGCTTTTACAAGGCAGGGATAACACTTGCTTTGCCATTCCTGGCCCTTCTACATTCCACAGGACATTGATCCCTTCATTTACAAGTACAGGGCAAATGGGAACTGTTCTCACCTGCAGTAAGGGAAATGCCCCAAGCCAAGGTGCATTGCTTTTTCCACAATATCAACATTAAACTCTTGGTAAAGCAAATCTGAATCCCAAGGCAAGCAGCTGTGTCCAGAAATGGTCATCTTTGCTGTACCTCTGTACTCTGTGCCATTCCCAACATAGCACCGATGGCTGGGAACTGGCAGAACATAAGATACTGGTCAGAAATCAATGCTATTTACATGTTAAATACTTACTTCTCTCCTGAGGTCCCAAACAAAAGCCAGCAGTCTCAACTCCATATAGTATCTTTTGGGAACTTGTTGCATCAAATATGAACTTCATTTTATTATTTTTTTTTAATCAAAAAAACCCCAAGCAGTTAAAACATCTCTTTAAAAGCAGTAGTAAGTTAGCTTCAGTTTACACATGCACAAATAACTATTCAACAGGCAGTACGGCCCTAAAATTTATACTGCATATGGAAGATTTTAGTCAGCAATCTGCAGCAAAGTCAGCAATGTGGCTGGGATTCCTCCTGTCTAATTTTAGACAAAACTGAGCTCATCACTGGAGCCTCCCTTTCCAGTCAATGAAGATAAACAGGCATTTCTAGTGCCAAACTGATCCAGCCTGTTTGAGGTGACTTTTTAAAGTTGAGATTAATCTTGCCATATGCTCTTAACTGCACTGACTAAATCTCAATTGACAATAATGGGAGCTCACGTAGAGGTGCCTGTGTTGTAAAGTAGTGAAAACAATTCTGCCCCACCAGCAAGTGCTTAAAAGACCTGATTTTGGAAAGTAGTTCTTCTTATGGCTTCATGTATACCTACAGAGATACACACTATAAACCACATATATTATAAATATGTAGCTACATCTTGCAAATGTATTAATTTTGAAAAAAATTAAACTAGTAGGTTGGATTTTCTTATTCAAAACCCATTTCTCTGTCACCTGCACGTGGGTTATTCCTTCAGACTGGTCTGACCCATATATATTCCATGACCTGTATACTCAGCTGCCAAGACCTATCAACAGCGCATAGCAGCATTATGGCTGAAAAACATATGGGGATGCACTTGTATACAAATAGCTACACTGACCAGAAAGTCTACACCTCAAAAGACAGTTCAGAGTATCCTAAAGGAAACACAAAACCATCTAATGTACAAAGAGGATTAATTGTGACCAAGCCTCAGAGGGTTCCTTTTCCCAGACATGTCAGCATGACTAATCTTTGACATCTGCAAGACTAGTGGAATCTTCTTCTGAACTTCTAAACATGCTTAAATATATAACATCACTATATTCCTTCCCTGTCAAAAAACACACTGTGATGATGATCCATCACTCCACACAGTGTGGACAGCTATTACCAAAGGTCTGTACGTTTTGACAGAATAAGCTGCCACATGAAGGGGGGAATGTAACCAGCACCGAAACAGTGAATTGCAGCAAGGAACTGCTGATGTCAATTAACCTTCCAAGTCATCTGTGTAGCAACAGACCTCAAAACCACAAGGAAGCATATGGCATAAATCTGGGAGCTGAAGGTCAAAAAGTTTGGTGCAAGAACTTCATTGTGAGTTAGCATACAAATACAAAGCAAAATTGGCTTTCTGGCTTGTCCTGGAAGGCACTTCTATTGGTGACACATATTCTCCCACCATCATGATAAATCAACTTCCCTTTATTTCAAGAACTATAACACTAAATCAAACTCATATTGTAAAAAACATAATCTGGGAGCTCACATAAAAGAATTGTCTGTCATTTGTATCGCTAGCAATAGTAACCATTTCTTGGCAGCCCTGCCATTTATTTTCTAGGCAAGCTGCAAGTGATGCTGCTTTGTTTGCCTGAAACAGTGTCAGGAAAATATCATTCTGTATGCTGAATTCGTTTATCCAGGAAAGTGCCAGGTGCTGTTTTTATTTGTACTGTGATTGTTACATTCAGAAATTATTTAGACCACTTTTATGAGGATGAAACAAGAGATTCTGTTTCAGTGCAGAACCAGGGACATATTCTGCAATACCAATGGTTTGGACATCTCGCAGATGGTGTTTACAAGTTGTGCTCATCCTTGTCTGGCTTAAAATCCAATGCATTTCTGTTTCATTGGCTCTGCCAGTCATTGCTAAAGCTGCCAGAAGATTATAACTTGAAGAATTTGGCCCCTTTCTAAATCATCCTTCATGTTATCCTCCTGTAACTCAGAAGTTTGGATTACATATGGCTCCTGTTGAGAGGAGCAGTAATATCCCTCTGAGAGTTTTGGTTTCTTTTTGGTTTTATAAGGAGTATTTTGGGCACAGGAATAAAGTAACTTAATCTCATATTTCATGGAGAAGCATCTAAGTTAGTCTTGAAGAAGGTTAACCTTGAAGAAGGTTAACACAGTTGTTTCATTAGTAGCTTTCCATCAGACTGTTCTCCACTCCAGCCAGCTTTATTTGTCTGGCTTGCAGTATCACCACAGTACCCCCATCACTGCTCATTAAAGTGCACTTCACTATGTACCTAGGGACATTAAGAAGTATTTGCAAAGCCCGATACATTTTATCACCTATAATTCAGCACAGTTTTCAAAAAAAATCTCCGCAACTATTTGAGTTGTACAGATTTTTTTTCTCCTTGCACTCTTTTTTGAACTGTTACAGCACTGGAGATAACCCAGTTTTTCCTTCTTTGTCAGAAACAATGTGTAGGTGGTCTGATTTCAGCAGTTCGTAATGGATTGCTCTAACTGGGAATTGTTCCTTCTCAATTCTTTATCACTTCTGCAACTTCTCATAAATATACTTATTTTCTTATGTGGAAGAAAGTGATAGAGGGTATAATATATGTATTTTTCCTTGTTCATTCACTTCCCTGTGGTATTGCCAATCACTACGTTAAGAGTAGAAATGGCCTAAACTTTCAGATGATGAAAGTTTTAATGCAAACTCAAGTTACACTGCAGACAATGCCACTGCCATGACTGTTAATTTATTTTTTAAAAAAATAATAAATCCTTGAAATTTAAAACCACAAGTAGTTTCCTGTTATGTTTTAATTTTAAAAACCAAGAAGTTTAAATAGCTGACATAAAACATTCTAGTTGTTAGGATGGCCTATTTTATCAGGATCTCACACTAATTGTTTGCCTTTTGATTTTTCAGTAAAAAGCTGTTTCAGATCTTAAAATTAAAAGCAACTTGAAATTGCAGTTATCCAACCAGTTCTGATTACTAACTTCCTGAAAACATTTCAGAAGACTTTTTGTCACCAGATCTTACTTCAGGTTCTGTAATTACACACCTGAATTGTTTTATGAGTTTCTTTTGGAAGGCTTTCTGTAGAAAACAGCATATCTTTTAGATTTTCTTTTGCCCCAAATACCTCATCAGCAATTTTCCTAATGAATTTGAGCTTTGACTGTATACTTCTTCCAGGTATGCATACGCTGTTTCATTCTGTTAATAAAAGTACATTTCCTCCCCAAATAGTCTTAATCCTGGGACAGCATAGTTTTAAGTAACCCTTCAATTCAGTAATGCTTTGTTTTATTCCTGACCAACCCGCAATGATTTTATTACATACAATGTTAGATGAATTTCTGTATCAACTGGTGGCAGGAAGGAGAAGGAGGGAAGAGGAGAAGGACAAAAGTCCTCTCTCTGCTTACAAGTGCTTTTACAAGAGATCTTTTCCAGTGTCTTATTATCAGTTCCAGATGGATAAGTTATTTAGAAAATCACAAACTGAAGCAAAACCTTGGTGGAATTAAGAGAAGATCCTCTGTCAAGAGCTTCTCTGGAGCACATGTCCACTCATGTTGCAGTACCTCAGGAAGTTCAGGATGCCTATCCTGCATCCCCCAAACTGGTCAGAGAGGGCACTTCAGCACTTCCTGGATAGCAGTCGGTTTGCAAGACAGGGCATTCATCTCTCTCTGAAGCCTTTCTAATATGTCTATGGATTTGTATTTCCACCAGATCCTGCTTCATCTATTAACAATGAAGATTAATAACAATGAACAGTGAATTTTTTTGCCTGTGCTTAAGCTTATTGCTTACACTGCCTCAGCATTGCGGGATGTGTTGCTCTCCAAGGCATCCTTTGCAAGGATACCAGTCAAGTTTCCTTCCTCTTTGAGCTCAGACTTGTCATCTGCCTGCAGAAGGATCCATCTTTTCTCAAGTCACCCAGAAGTTCCCTGGTCTCCTTTCTTGAGTAGCTGTGAGATCCCCTCAGAGGTGAAAGGTGTGGAAGTCATTGATTTCAGGGAGCTGCTCTTCTCCCAGTGCACGGGCAGCTAACCACCACTCTGAGCTGGCAATAAATGTGTGACAGAAAGGACTCCCCAGTATTCATAGAGATTGCCCTTACAGACATCTCTACTTAGTCAGATAAAGCACTGAACACCCCCACCCCCCCCT